CTCCCCCCTGTTTAAGTTTTTTCGTCACTCTTCCACTCGCCCTGATCCATTTAAATTTTCACTTAAGTTTTTTTTTCCTAATTTTTTCATTCAAATTTTAAAAACTTATCTTTAAGATTATAAACCAAATAAAAAAAATATTTCAAGTTTACTCAATTGTGCCAAATTAACCAAATAAACACTATAGTATTCTTACATTGTGAACAAGAAGAGGTGACCTTCCCCATCCCCGCTGCACACCCACATGAGTTTTTCAGTATAAAATTTGTTCTCGCCCAAAATTATTTAATCATGTCTTTATAACTTTTTAAAACGGGTGAGAATGAGAACACGAGAACTAGTATTCAACAAAGTAGTCTATTCTCCTATCCCTAAAACACAAATGACTTTATGAAATCAAGAAGGAAAAAAAAAAAAAACAATAGAACATAAACCTAATAAGATTAGACAATGTTTGACAGTTCATAAAACATTGTTTGCGTACACATTCTACTTATATACAATGAGAAATTATTGAGAATTAAATTTCATACAACATTGTCTAATTTAATTTCCTTGCCATCATCAAAACACCACACAGTCACACACACACACACCTGAATTGGCATTCAAAACTGAAATGTTTCTACATTAAGGTCATGTTTGGATGTCTCCTTCCAAACTTCCAATGCTTTAATTAGTCCACGACAACAACAAAATAGGTTAAATGAATCAGGACCTAGTATTTTAAGGATACACTGTCAGTCTATAGTTGAAATTTGGCTTCCTTCTTTTTCATGTATTTGTTTTCTGTGTTAAATACTGTTTTTTTTTTTTCTTTCTATATTCAAACTAACTTTGAATAAATTTATTGTTACAATATTAATGACAAGTGGAAAGAGGTATAAATGTGATGTGCAATAACAATGCTGGAATTGAATCATTTCAAATAAATTAATCATAAGAGTTGATTTTTAAAATTTAATTTCAACATCATACATTTTTGTTTATTATAATTATAAAGTAAATTACATTATTATCTTAAAAAGCAGCATGATGGGACTTATGAAAAAAACATGATGGGACTTAATGTTGCTCAAATTCAAAGTTAGGTATCAATTGTTATCTCTTCAATGTGTGGAAATGAAATCTTGTCAGAGCCATTTTAAGAGTCATTTTTCTTTTTAATTTTTAATTTTTAATTTTTTTTAATTTTTTAGGGAAGCTCAGTAGCTCGGTTGGTATATTCTATCCTTCTTCAAAATAGATATATATATATATATATATATATATATATAATTCGAGTATTTCATAACAGGTGTTTATGAGCATTTGCCTAATAAAAAATTAATTCATTGTAAGAGTGGTTTTTTTATTTTTATATATAGATGTTTCCCTTGTATATATATAAAAATTAATATATTTATTCATTAAATTTACATTGTCATTTGTTGATGACATATAATAAGCAATAACTATCTGTAAAAATATAATATTACCACTTTACTTTTTTAAAAAATTTCATAGAATTAGAAGCATAATCAAATATGAGAGCTTCACCTCCAATTTTCATTGTATTTTTCTTCTCAACATTTTATTCTCCAACATGTTTCACTTTAAATTCTTTCAAGGTGGTAACAGACTAAAAAAAGCACATATACTCGTATATAATAGTAAAGATATAATGATACATACATACATATATATACACACACACACACACAATTATATATGTATGTATGCATGATGTCATGCTAATATGCTAATGTCATGCATCACAAACAAGAGAGACCGACGATACTAAAAAGAATGAAAAAAAGAAAATTCAAGTGATAGGCAATCAAATGTTGGGCCGAGCCTGAGTCTTACTTTGTTGCATCAAACAACAATCAAAGGGTTCGGTCCAACAGTCCCATTATAAACTAAACATGTCTGCCAAAATCTAAACTGGATTAAGTGACAAGCTTTAAATTAGCCCAGGCCCTTCCAAGTCTGAAACCTTGGGTTAGGCCGGGCCCCAAATTGGGCTGGTCAGTGAACCTTGATGGGTGGTTGGCAACTTGGCTATGTAACCTCTTGGTCTGCCTAATTCCAGAAATTTTCTACTGAACCAAACAAGTTCAAATGATTATAGAATTGGGGTTTGCTTTGAATTTATTTATTTATTATTTTTTAAAATTGGGGTGTCTGAGATTTTGATTCGATTAATTCACCGGACCTAAGTAAGGCAATACTTCTATACAGATCGGAAAAGCTCAGTCTATGTCTAAATAATTTTGCATCCAATGAAAATCGAACTTGAAATTTAATAGACACAGAGGTCTCAAATTTTTTCCAAGTGAATTTGAAATTTAATATCTCGAGATTGTAACTACTTGTGAATTTCGGACAAAATGAATATTATTACAATCATCACTTTCTAGGTTAAGAAACTATTAAATAATGATTAGAGGAACAAAGTAAACGTCTTTGTCAGAAGCAACGCAGCAGACTTAAAAAAATTCTCATGCCAATGGGGAGTAAAGAAGATTTTGCAAATTAGTAGACTCAAATTACGAATTGAAATATAATTAAGAGCATTGATAGGTAAATAAATTGAGCTTATAAACACTATAATTAGAATTAATGGTTAACATGCTTGCTATAAGAAAGCAAAATATTTAGTGTGCAGTTTAAGTTACTCCTTAAAATTTATAAAAACCATCTATCATATTTTGCTCGTACACTTGTACACAAATAAACTCAAATCTCACTTAGAAAATGAAAAATTGTACCATCTAGACTATTGCTCATTAATTAAAACAACAAAACTTATTATGACATTAATGAAAGATTTACTTACGAAAAAGAGCATAGATCACAAGAAAATAACTATGTCATATCATCGTGTATACAAGCAACTATATCATATATATCATATCAATGTATGGATTCCTCTTTTGTTTTTACACTATACATAGGGTTAGCTTGATGCAGTTTGACAAAGTGAAATCGTTAAATGAAACCTTCTTATATTAATACAGCACTAACATTTTTTATTTAAAAATTATTCTGTAAGTAAAACTTTTCTGTTAAGGGAAACTTCTAATAGAAGATCAGTGGTATTTATTTGGTAATTAATTCAGTAAACAAAGCATAATTAATACATTAAGGTCTAGTTTAATATGGAATACAATGAAATGTAATGGACATTCAATTCCAATCATTCATTTGTTTGATATGACATTTAAAGTGAAAAAATTCATCCAAGATAAAAATTCATTTAAAGGATTGAAATTTTTGGCCACCACCTTCTACCACCAACACTACTTTTCGCCATCCCCTTTCATCACCACCACTTAGAATAATAATTATTATTTCATTTTTATATCACTCCATATTTGCAATCAAATAATAGAATGAGAATGACAGTTTCATTTTATTCTCATTTCATTCACATGCAGTCAAGGGCGGAGTCAGAATCTTGAGATTAGGGGGTCAAAATTATAAACAACATTACCTAGCTAAAACTTTTGAAAAAAAAAAAAAAATTACGTAGGCAAAAGTATTTTACTATTTATTATATTCATACAAAAATATATCTATCTAAACTTAAAAAAAAAAAAAAAACTAGTTATTTAAATAAATTTTTTATCAAACTTTCTGAACAAACACAAATAAGATTTGTGCCAAAATTATAAAAAAAATTCAATTAAATACCTCTCTTTATTTACTGAAAAAAAAAACAAAAATAATTTTTAAAAAAACAAAAAAAAAAATTGAAAATTTAACAAAACAATAACAATGATAAAAAAAAAAACGCAAACAAATTAATAAAATAATAATTTAGATTCTTAAATCATCAATTTTTGTTGATATTCAAAACTTCAAATGAAATTTTTGTTCTAGATTTTGTAAAAATTAATTTCTTATAGATCCAATAAAAAAAAAAAAAAAGAAAAAGTCATGGAACGAATCATGTATGAGATGAAATTTTAGGATAATAAAGTTATGGAAATAATTATGCTTGAGTTGGAAAGATTTTAAAATAGTCACATTATGGAAAGAATGATGTTTGAGTTGAAATTTTAAAATAGCTGCATTAGATTTTTATCGAGGTTTTATAGTCATCAATTAAATCACTTTATTTTAGATTATATATAAACTATCTTTTGTTAAATACTAATTAAAGAAAGAAATTTTTTTTTTTCCATAGCTGGGCCAAGTATAGATTTTATACCATATATGCTATATTATTTTATTTTTACCTATACTTAAAAAAAAATTTCAAAAAATTAGGGGGGCCATGACCCCCGCCAACCCCCCCTTCCTTCCGCCCCCTACATGTAGTTTTATTTTATTCTTATTTCATCCACAGTTTCATTCTATTCCCATTTCACATCGTTCATATAAATATCATGTTATCTACTATGTGTAACTATGTGTCCCTTTTATTTCATTAGGGCTTAGGGTTAAGGTGCCACCCTAGTTGCGTGATGATTGAGGTGGCCTAGCTCCACTAAACAAATGCTATTATTCTTAGCTTAATTTATATTTGTTTAAACAAATTGGTGCATAATTTTAATATATGGATTGTTCTCTTTCAAACGGGGTAGAGGTTAATAATATCATATATATTTCTCTTTCACCCACACATAACAAATGCTATCATCTTCTTTACTTTATTTTTACTATATTTTTTAAAACAAATTTATACATAATTATAAATAAGTATACAACTCACTCAAACGAGACAGATTGATAGGTTAATTCGAGCCTAAACCAACTCAAACTTAAATTGATCTTGAGTTAATACCAAATTGACTTTTTTTTGTATAACCAAATCAATTATTCAAAATATTTTTTAATTTTTTTAATTTAATTCAAAAGATTAATATACAAAAATTAAGCAATCAATTTGAATAAACATAAGAGTTGTCTGTATATGTTTTTTGCACGCGGTGAAATTAAGCCACAGACCTCCTTAGACTCGAGACTGCGACTATTGGTTCAATGCGTAGAAAGTTCTATCCCAACGTTAGAGACATATTATTAGGCTTCCAAGTCCCCCTCTTTCTCTCTCTAAACTTTTTTCTCTCTCTCTCTAAGGTGCAAGTTCTGCCTCTCTCTCCATGTCAGAACTTAAAGAAATTTTTTGAGAGAGATGAATTGTATTTGTCCTTCTCATTCTCATCGGACGCCCTTCAGAATCTGAGTCTTCTTGCCCCGACTTTCTCTCTCTAGGGTTTCTGCCTTCCGAGCCCTAGTTTTCATGTTCGTTGCGCCATAGATCGGACAGTGGAGGGGGCGTCAATGGCAGAATTAGGGCAACAGACGGTCGGCTTCTCGACTCTGGTGAGTCGAGCCGCCGAGGAGTCTTACCTCTCGTTGAAGGAATTGGTGGAGAAATCTAAGTCATCCGAGCAGTCTGATTCGGAGAAGAAGATTAGCCTCCTCAAGTACCTGGTCAAGACTCAGCAGCGAATGCTTCGCCTCAATGTACTCTCCAAGTGGTGTCAGCAGGTCAGTTTTAGCTAATGTCCGACAATATATGTATATATGTATGAGTTTGTAATTTTCTGTGTAAGTCTGTATGTATATGTGCCTAGATTTAGGGAAGAACGTAAACCTAGGTTGATAATGGATTTTTTTTTCTACTTATTGAGAATTAAAATCTTAATGTATTCGAAGTCGGGCTGAAGTTTCCAACTAAAGTTGCTATTAAAGTCGTTCTCTTTCTGCTTCTTGAGAAATGGTGGGAAGGATAGGAATAACGTAATGGAATCTCAAGTTCTTCTTCTTCTTTTTTGTTATCTTTTGTTATTTTATTTTATTTTTTGTTTTCCTTGCAAGTAACTCACACACCCATTTTATCCTATAGAGACTTGAATCTCAGGTTCTTTTTCACGAAGGCAGTAAAGGTTCTGAATTTACGAATTTATAAGTTTCAAAATTTGTTTCTCCTTTCGTATTTTTCCATATTTGCGTGGCACCAAGTGGAAATATATATAGTATTTTTTCTATTTTTTTTTTTAAAAGCTAAAAGTTGAAAATATGCTCTGGATTTGGCTTTTCAGTGGAAATTGAAATCTGCATCTTTTTTTTTTTGGATAAATAAAATGTATTAGAAAGCCTTCAAAAGGGGTACGCGTCCAAGATGTACAAAAAAACAGGACCTATGAACTCAAACAGCCCAAAAAGTCCACAATATCCTCAAAAGAAGAAAAATCTCTCCCCCAACCCCAATAAAAAAGGGTACAAATAATAGAAAATTTCAGTCCTCCAATGGGGGACTCCTTCCCATCAAAAGATCTTCTATTCCGCTCTTTCCAAAGGCTCCACCAAACGCAAAAAAAGGGTCACCCTCCAGAAGTCTCTACCCTGAGTCCCCACCCATTGGTCCCTCCAGATATCTAGCAACTCCCGAGAAGTTTGAGGCATGACCCAATGGATGCCAAACAAACCAAACATAAGACTCCAACAATCATAGGCAACAGGACAATGCAGCATAAAGTGATCAACGGACTCCCCATAACACTTGCAAAGACAACACCGATTAAAAATGATATGTCTTCTCTTCCTCAAATTGTCCAAAGTCAGAATCTTACTCCAAGCTGCAGTCCACATAAAAAAGGCCACCCTAAGAGGTGCCACTAGAAAGCCACACCGTCTTCCACGGGAAGGAAATACCATGAAAACCAGAGGCGCACAAAGAAGAACCGGACCTGGAACATCCCCTGTGTAGAAGGCACCCAAATAAGGGAATCCGCACCAGTGCCATCCAACTCCTGTTTATACAAGAGGGCCAGCAAACCAGTGACATCACACTCCCAATCCTGAAAAGATCGCCGGAATTGCACATCCTAATACAACCTCCCGCTATCAAGGCGATATCTGTCAGCAATCATAGCATGTTTGTCAACAACAATCCTGAACAATCTTGGGAACAAAAGAGCCAAAGGCCTATCCTCACACCAGGAATGCTCTCAAAACCGGACATTATTTCCATCCCGAACTCTGAATCTAATATGTTTGGAGAATTCATCCCACCTCTTCCCAATGGACCTCCACACCCCCACACCACTAGCAGACCTGACAGGCCTAGTTGACCACCCCCCTCTCCTCCCCAAAACGACAAGAAATGACCTTTCTCCATAATCTATGTCTTTCACTGCTGAACCTCCAAAGCCACTTGCCTAGGAGAGCACTGTTGAAAGGGGCCAGTCTCTTAATCCCAAGTCCTCCCAACTGAAAAGGCTTGCAAACCTGCTCCCATTTGACAAGATGATACTTGAACTCCTCCCCTCGACACCCCCCCCCTTCTCCCAACAACAACAACAAAGGAAGTTACATTGGAGCATCTCCAGTCTTCCAACAATAGAGGCTGGAATCCGAAAAAGCGAAAGACAGTACGTTAGGAGGCTTGACAAAATACTCTTCACTAACGTAACTTTACCACCCTTGGAGAGATATTGCTTTTTCCAACCAGCCAATCTTCTCTCAACCTGCTCAATCACCGGGTCCCAACTTCCCACCCTCCTGGCCGAGTCCCCCAGCGGCAAACCCAAGTATGAAATAGGGAAACGTCGCGTCTCCTAAAATAGTAGTCAGAGAATCCACTTCCTGAACCTCCCCCACAGGGACAAGTACACTCTTACCCATGTTGACTTTCAAACCAGAGACAGCCTGAAAGCAAACCAAAATATATCTCAAATATCGCAACTGGGACCCTTCTGCCTTGCAGAAAACATTAGTGTCATCCGCAAAAAGCAGATGAGAGATCTCCATCTGCTGAACCGAGTCAGGGCCGATCTTGAAGCCCCTAATGAACCCCAAATCCACAGCCCTTCTCATCAACCTACTAAGGGCCTCCATAACAATAATAAACAAGAACGGGGAAAGAGGGTCCCCCTACCTCAGGCCGCGAGAACTGCCCCCGTAGGAGACCTGTTAACCAACACCGAAAATCTGACAGTGGAAACACATGTAGCAATTCATTTCCTCCATCTCGCACCAAAACCCATCCTCTCTAACAAATAAAACAGGAAATTCAAGCAGACATGGTCATAGGCTTTCTCGATATCCAGCTTGCAAAGAACACCAGGAACACCATTGCAAAGTTTAGAATCCACGCATTCATTGGCAATAAGAGCGGAGTCCAGAATCTTTCTACCCCCAATGAAAGCATTCTGAGACTCAGAAATGACTCCATCAAGAACCTCCCTCAGCCTAAACGCAAGGACTTTCGCGATGAGCTTATAAATACACCCAATCAGACTGATTGGTCTAAAATCCTTGACGTTAGAAGCATCGCCCTTCTTAGGAATTCAACGATTTCTCAAACCTCCCTGTGGAATGAAACTCATGAAAAGTGCTCATAACCTCGTGCCTAACCACCTCCCAACTCTCTAACAAAAATCTCATAGTAAAGCCATCTGGGCCTGGAGACTTATCACCATTACAGCTTTTAAGAGCCTTCAGCACCTCCTCCTCCAAAAAAGGACTCTCCAACCCATTCCTTTCCAAAACAGAAATAGTATCAAAATGAAGGCCATCAAGCCTTGGCCTCCATCGAAGAGGCTCAGAATAAAGCCTTTGGTAGAAAGAGACAATACCACTTCGCACCTCCTCCTCCGTAGTCAAGACCGTACCATCCACACACAGCCGCCCAATATGATTACCCCTCCTACGAGCATTAGCAGTTCTATGGAAAAACTTGGTATTACGGTCTCCCTCTTTGAGTCACAAGGCCCGAGATTTCTTCCTCCAAAATAGCAATTTCCACACATTTTACCTGACAAGCTGCTCTCCTAATACGACGAGACTCAGGAAGAACACCCTCCCCTTCCATTCTATCAATCTCAGCAATATCAGCCAAAGCCCTATTCTTCCTCCACTCCAAATTCCCAAACACCTCCTTATTCCACCTTTTGAGTTTATTTTTCAGAAGTCGAAGCTTTCCTGCAAGAATAAAACTCGACGTACCCATCACCAGGTTCTTCTCCCACCAAGAGTGCATAGAACCCTGGAAATTATCCACTCGAAGCCACATGTTCTCAAATTTGAAAGGAGTGCAACGAGATCTCAAACCTCCACAGTCCAAGACCAAGGGAATATGGTCCGATGTCACCCTAGCCAGCACAGCTTGGACAACTTCCGGGAACTTCTCCTCTTAGTCACCGGAAATAAAAAATCTACCAAGACGAGAAAAAGTTGGCGCTCCCCTTCCACTGGACCATGTAAAAGAAGCTTCCTCAAGAGGAAGATCAATAAGCTGATGGCCATTAATAAAGTCAGAAAAGTGCATCATAGCTTGAGTCCAAGGACCACCTGTAGATCTCTCCGCCGGGGACCTAACCACATTGAAATCACCGGCCACACACCAAGGAAGAGACCACCTCCCCTTCACCCCGCTTAACTCCCCCCACAACCTATCCCTCACACCATCATCAACTGCCCATACACCCCAGAAAAAGCCCAAGAGAACCCATCCTTGTCCAACACAAAAGCACAAGACAGAGATAATCTCCCCCTACAAACCTCCATCTTAGCCATCCATCTTCTATCCCACATAATGAGAACACCACCAGATATCCCAACAGAATCCAACGCCTCCCACTCAACAAACCGATTGCCCCACAAACTCTTAACCACACGCTCAGTCATAGAGCCTATCTTTGTTTCTTGAAGACACACCAAATGCACCCCCCATTTTCTCACTGCCATCTTCACCACCTTACGCTTGCCCGGATCATTGAGACCACGGACATTCCAAGATAAAAATCGTAACTTCATGAGGAAACAATCACTCCCATCACCTCCTTACCACTCCCTCCCCCCTTATCACTCCCCCTCTCCTTCTCCCCCCCAACCATCTTGTCGTAGTTCACATCAGAACACACAGTAGTATTATGTACATTGCCCTATTTTTTTGTTTATGTAGCAGAAATCCCACGTTTGACTGGGTTGTCAAGTTGAAGATAAAGGAAGCTTGAGAAAGATAATGAAATGGAGCAATAAATTGGAACTAATAATTTAGATAGATGTTAGGTCACCTGGAAAACTGGGCTTACAGTTCACGAATTGTTTTGATCAAACAGAAAAATTCGTGAAAATATAGGGAAAATGTTTAAATATGTGTGCATGTTCTATAATTTCAGTTGTGTGCTTGTATTACTGGTTAGGGCTGCAAATGAACGGAGCCGAGCCGAGCCGAGCCGAGCTTTGGGTTGCTCGAACTCGGCTCGTTATCTTCCTAGAGGTGCTCGGGCTCGACCGAGTCTGGCCTAACTAGGCTCAGGCTCGGCTTGGTAGAAAATCAACGAGCTCGGGCTGGGCTCGGCTCGGGATCGGTTGCATACCCAACCATCCTTGATTCAAGAAATCATGACCTCTTCCATGAAATTCGATCCCCATCTCCGACCAGAAAGAAATCAAACGTTGAATCGATGAAATCTTATCTCCATCTCTAACAAGAAAGAAATCCATTCGCACTCCAAGAAAGAAAAAAAAAAAAAAAAAAACAGAAAAAATTTCAAAATGAAATCAAACCTTCTAAAGTTTTATCCCTGATCTACACCATTGTTCCACTACTCGACCAGTCGACCTTAAGATGCATTAGAGAGAGATGAGCTTTGTGTCGCATGATGGGGACTGCCGGCAAGATCATTCGGAAGTGAAGAGAACGTGCCGCTATAGACTTCTGCTTCTAGGGCATCCGTATCTCTTTTTAGCTTTTAGCAAATCAATGGCCGAGATGGATTATATATTAGTGGCTGATATTCAATCTTATTTGGATGATGGGCTAACTAATTACAAGACTCTGGGCCTTATCAATGAAATGGTGTGAATTGGACCAATGGACTGTAAACATTTTAAATACAGAATATGGGCTCAACATTTTAAATGTAGAATAATATTAAAAATTGGTCTTTAACTTAACGAGCTTGTTCACGAGCCTAATGAGCTGAGCTCAGGGTTGCTCAAGCTCGGCTCATTTACTAAACGAACGAACCCGAGCCGAGCCCGAGCTGTTCATGAACAACTCGGTTCATTTGCAGCCCTATTACTGGTGGAAGGAGGTGCCATGGAAGTGGTCAAAACAATTTTATGGAACTAGTGTACCATTGGGCTTACCCTTGTACTGGTTCTGGTTATGTTGAAGGGATGCTGACACAGGAAACAAACTTGACACAACCTCATTTAACGCAGGATTTTATATAGAAATTAAGAAACGGACATGACAAAGATACAATAATAGGCATTTACATGGGCATGAGTTCTTTCTGACCCCATTCATAAGGGATTAGGCCCATTAGGGTAATGATGATGATGATGATGTGTGTGTGTTCACACTTATGATAATCCTCTCATCCTCCCTGTTGCACTCTTGGACAGAAGAATGGTTCAGGTTAATAACTCCCTTTGTTTTAACAGGTCCATCTTACTTTTGATGGTTCTATAGTGGTTCCATATTTCTTTTGATGGAAGAATGGCTCAATGTTCATATATCTCATTTAATTTATTCTCTTCTAAATTTAGTTCAACCTCTCAATGATATATACGTAAGTCCATGGTTCAACATTTATTGCTTGGTTAATGTAAAACCTTGGGCGCACAAGCATGGGCATGTGGGTTTGAGTTTGAGAGCAATCACTGTATAAAATAATGTCAAAGGTTAGGTTGTCTACGGTCTTCTCATCCTAGGACCACATCCCCTGCAGATGGGACCAACACCAATTGATATGTGAAATTGGTGCATGTACAGTAAAAAATAATGTTATCAAGATGCCCAAAATTAGATTTATCAAAAAAGATACCCTAAATTAGATAGCAAAATAAACAAGGGGATGACAACTAGTTTGAACGGAAAGTCTAGGCCTTTTTACTTCTGTTATTTGGGTATGGTACTACTTTGTGTAAGAAACAAAAGATCTACCAAACTACATAGTACATGTACATCTGATTCCAATCCACCATTGATTCTCCCTATTTTTTGATCTGCGGAGGACATAATATCTGACCCATTATGCACTGAACCATTTACCACAGAGTCAGCATTACCTGAGATAGTCCAAATATGTTGAAAAAACTGGTCTATCATGTTATAAGAGAAAGGACAATGGATGAACAAGTGATTAAAGAGTGTGGCTTCTGACTAGTTAAGAGCAAATGGATTTGGGATTGAATTATTTTCTGTGACAAATTTATTTATTATTTAATCCGTTAGGTCGAAATGGTGATTGCTAGATAAGCTTTGCCAAGAAAAAAATGATGATTAACAATTAGGGATAATCAGAACATTAGGATGTATTCACTCAGGGACCATTAATACGTTTTGCAGATGCCAGCTAAAACTATAAACTGTAGTACCATACTGGCAAACTCTTTAAGACTACACCTTGTGGTCTTGAACATTGTACTTAAAAGAGGGAGGTTGCTTAACCATACTTTTCTTACTTGACAATTCCGTAAATTTTCCTAAAACAAAGCGAAGGGTAAAGACAGTTTCCTCAGGTCATTCATAATTACGAAATTTCATCTTGTTGAATTTTCCCATTTTTTTCCCAGTTAATCATTTCATATATTTCCCCTTTTGAAATTGACCTATTATGAGAATGCTTATGTAAAACACACAATCATATACTTCATCCACTTACAAAAATTGAAGATATTTAAATGTGGAAATACAAGTCAAGGTGGTTTTTCTATGGCTAGTTATGGTGAAGGGGGAAACAGTAATTAGCTGGAATATGAATATTCAGATAGGTAGCAGTAATTATGTTGACACTAGTTGAGTTTTCTAAATTTACCTTAGTTATTGTACTTCTAGAAAAAAAGGTTTCGATTTAGAACCAATTGCATTAGTAACCCTTGTGGTTGAAGCTGTTGCTTGCATGGGTCATGTTGTAGAAGGAGCATATTTATCAAAAAAAAAAAAGGTTGTGGAAGTTGCAAATTCACTATGTTTCTAGAGCATGAAGAAGCAGTGTTTGTATTTACCCTGCTGCTCTTTGGTATTTCATAGATACATGGGGAAATCAATGGCATTCCTAGCTGCTGGTTTTTGGACGAGGGAACTACCTGATGCCCAGACCAGAGAAAAAAAAAAAATGGTTCTGAAATTGTTATATAGATATGTTTTACTGGAACAATTATATCATGCATAGGATTTTTAAGATCATTTGGACAATAGAAAGATAACTTTTGTAGCAACGTTTTAAAGCGGAGAGGGCAATGGTATTTATACCAGTAGTACTCCGTGCAGTGTTTACAAAAATTAGAGGGAGCGATTATGATATGGATTGAAATAGTTATGGGAATTGGTCCTCGAGTGCAAAGGCAAAAGGGAGCTTGACTTCAAGAGCTACATGTCAAGCAGGTGGAGTCAATTCAATGGATAAAAGTTACTCTAGGGATAGCAAGCAATATCTGCCGAAGTACAGAAAGTATGCAGATGGAGTCAATTCACTCTTCTTTGGAAGTTACTCTGGGATGTTTTCCATATTTTCGATTCATTTTTGCCTTCTTTTACCATTAGAAATCATTATATTGAGATTTGTGATTATTGTCACGCATGCCATTTGGTAATGTGAACAGTACTTGTAGTTGTTACATATGTTTATTGTATGGAAGTAAGAATATCCCTTTGATTGTTGTGCTAATTTGTGTTAAGCCTTTTTCATATTAAGACATAAGCTATTATAATTGTTAACTACTGGTTCTCTTGTAAATCCTTTCTGTCTGATCTGCAGGTTCCTTTGATACAGTATTGTCAAGGACTTGCATCAACTTTATCAAGTCATGAAACATGTTTCACCCAAGCTGCAGATTCACTTTTTTTCATGCATGAGGGGCTACAGCAAGCTCGTGCTCCTATCTATGATGTTCCGTCCGCTATTGAAGTCCTCCTTACAGGAAATTACCAACGTTTACCAAAATGTATAGAAGATGTGGGTATTCAGAGCTCATTAACTGAGGATGAGCAGAAGCCAGCTTTAAAAAAGTTAGACATACTTGTACGGTCTAAATTACTTGAAGTTTCACTTCCAAAAGAAATTTCTGAAGTCAAAGTTTCTGAGGGTACTGCACTGCTTCGTGTGGATGGAGAATTTAAGGTTTTAGTTACTCTTGGGTATCGAGGACACCTATCAATGTGGAGGATATTGCATCTGGAGCTGCTTGTCGGTGAGAGAAGTGGGCTAGTGAAGCTGGAAGAATCGCGGCGGCATGTTCTTGGAGATGATTTAGAGCGGAGAATGGCTGCTGCAGAAAAAAATCCATTTGTAACATTGTACTCTGTTCTCCATGAGCTTTGTATTGCACTTATTATGGACACTGTCATAAGACAAGTACGATCGCTTCAGCAAGGCAGATGGAAAGATGCAATTCGGTTTGAGCTCATATCTGATGGTAGTGCGGGACAAGGAGGGAATGTTGGTTCTGTGCAAGCGACTCAAGAAGGAGAAACTGATTCAGCTGGTCTTCGAACTCCTGGAGTAAAAATTCTATACTGGTTAGATTTTGATAAAAACTATGGTAACTCTGATTCAGGGTCGTGTCCATTTATAAAAATTGAACCAGGGCCAGATCTGCAGATAAAGTGTCTTCACAGCACATTTGTCATAGATCCAGTAACTGGCAAGGAGGCAGAATTTTCCCTTCACCAAAGTTGCATCGATGTTGAGAATTTACTGCTAAGAGCTATCCGTTGTAATAGATATACTCGGCTGCTAGAAATCTACAAAGAGCTGGGGAAAAACGGTCAGATTTATCGAGGTGTAGGTGACGTGGTTCTTCAGAGCCACCCAGATGAACCTGAGGCTGACCATAAAAAGGTTGGTTTGAATAAATAATTTGATCATTTTCTTCTTTTTTGTTCTATTGTTTTGTTTTGCAACACACACTTGATCACTAACTTGTCTTTCATGAATTAGGTTTTAAATTGCAAAATGCTAATGGTGAATTGAAGCATTGTTTTTCCTCCTGGTTTTGGTTCTTCAAAGATGTTAGAAGATATTATACTCTAGATTTTCATACAATATCTCATTTGAAATATGTGTAGTGATAAATAAATTTAGTATAATTTTAGGTTTTAATGTGTTAAAATTCTTGCAACAAATTAAATTTACATGAGTAGGAGTGACCAACATTTACATCATCTGTTGTGCATTTTAATTTTCTCATCTTTATGTTCTTGATACATATATCTATATTTAATATGGGCGTTTCACCATGAGGCTTCATACATGGTTAAAATTCATGGTACGGGACACTGACTCGGGTACTAAGATGACTTGCTCTTGGCCTGTGGATTGAAATTGAGAAACATAGGTGATAAGGCGTTAGCCTGCCACACTATTTTGTAATTGCTGGATAAATACTCCAGACAACCTTAAACTGCAAATATAAATACAATAATTTTCCATTGATGTGCGCATATACTAAAGATGATATGTCTTTGTGTGGAAGCAAATTAATAAACCTAAAAGAAATGTACATGCTCTTTTCTCTTTTTCCCTTGGGTGGACCAAGTGTGAAGACTACTTCAACCTCCCCCGGTGTTCTTCTTCTAAAGTAACTTTTGGAATTAGATGGCTTTGAGGCTTGGATTTTGATGGCTTGAGGATCAAAGTAAACTGGATACCTAAGGAGCTAAGAAATCATATAAACTTGAAAAAAATTAAGGCTGGGAAAGAACAGAAGTGGATGGGATTTTTTTGTCTGACTCATGAGACGACTCGTTGAGCCACAAGATATATCATGAGACAGAAGCATATTGGCCAGTCTGGCCGAAAATATTATTCGTGTCACTTTCCTCATTTTTTTTGACAACCGAGGCATCCTGCTTAAAAGTAAACATTTAGAAAACTCTCCCTAATGGGTTTTACATGTAGAATGTGGGTTTAGTTCGACTCCTGATGCACCTATATGAGCCAAACTCGAAGCTGCTTACATTTGATCAGTAATGATACTAGAGATGCTTTCTTTTTTACTTGATAGCTTGTATAACAAATTTCCTGGTAATAATGGATATGTCAATGCCATTGATGGAATACCAGTCCAAAGAAACTGGCAGGCCAAACTATTGGTGTTAACTTTGTAGAGTTGAGTCTCTGCCGCACTTTGGCTTGTTTTATCAGTCTTGTATTATCAGTAGTCATGTTTGACTTCTTCATGAGTGAACGCAATAAAATTTGGTAGTGTTTCTCATAAGTGACATGTACAGCTCCTTTCCAATATAAATTTCTACGTTGTAACAGAAGATGACGATCAATGCTTAAACTCTATCACAATCTTGTTGCAGATTTTCTCACATTATTTATTTCTTCAGTTTATTTTTGAGTGTCGAGAGTCTATTTCTTGCATTTCACGAATTGATATTTTTTGAGCTCATAGTCTTGTGCTATTGACCAGAACTGAACAATATGTTGTTTTGCTTGACTGAATTTTGTTTGCAGAAGGATAACAAATCCAGTGTCAGGGAATATGAAGGGCAGGAAGTACTACGTGTGCGTGCCTATGGCTCGTCATTTTTCACCCTTGGAATTAATATAAGGTTTCCCTCTTCTATCTATTCAAATGAACTGTATATTTTCAACTAGTGTTTATGATGAACATTTGTATTATATTATAATTTAGAAGTTTAGGTTTTAAGCAATTGATTGTATATGCTACATGGCAGGATTGGAACTTAATAGAGAAAATTACATATTTTTGGCTTTTTCTTTGGTTCTTCCTATTTTTCTTTCCTTTTTTTTTTTTATTTTTTTATTATTTTTATTTGGCCAAATAAATAAATAAAGAAAGAAAAATAAAAGAATTTGTTATATTAATTTGTTGGTAGAATATTGACAACTTTATTTATTTTTTGGAAGGTCAAATTAAAACCAACCCCCACAATTATTAATATAATTGTAATAAATCCCATATATCGGGATGTTGGTTGGCTGACATAACACTGTAGCCACTCACTGCTCCAGCCCCACGTCCTAAAAAAGTAAGTAGTAGTCATTGACAACTTTATTTTGTTCGTAGCATACGAATAACTGAACCAATTAGACAGTAGTTTTGCAGAACGTATTAGTGTTGCAGAAATAAGACATAGTTGTCCAAGTGTCTGGATGAGCTCCCTCTCAGTAGTGTAACTGCCTCATTTTGTATACATAGTTGTACATAAAATGTCATGCATAACGTGTTATGTCACAATTGCTGTTTTTGTCGCTATGTGTACAATTTTAAGATATCTGTTGACCTGGGGGGTGAGTTGGTGAGGTAAGATTACCTAAAATTGATAAGAAAATAGAAGCATGTTAGCAATGAGGGAAAGTTGAAGAAGTAGAAAGGAGGAGTATTTTTGGAGTTTCTTATGCTTCACTTGCATGGGTTAAGCTACATCATGCAAATACAACCTTAAATTACTGTAGCTCAACTCCATAAAATATTAAGATGACCTAGCTGTTTATAGCCTATTGGGTTTCTTACTGTAACTGCAACTATGACTGTTGAGACTCTTCATGACCTACCAAATTTTATTTAAAGACCAGATAACATAACTTGACTCAAAATATGACCAATGAACTACTCCTACAACTTAGTTGCAGCAATCTAGAAATAATTGAATTATCCTTGGCCCTTAACAGTTGGTAAAGTACATAACAAATTCAACTAGCAACATAGTAACATGAAATGAAGAAAAAAGAAAAAAGCGTTAGTAACAAATTCAACTAGCAACATAGTAATGCGTTCAAAAGGGTCAAGGATAATTCAATAATTTCTAGATTGCTACAACATAGTAAAAATCTAGACATCACCATTGTGAAGATAAGTAATTGTAATAATTTCTGAGGATGAGAATATGATCCTTTAGCCCTGATACCAAACTGATCCAGTAAACTGGAATACCTAAAATAATGCTGCAAAATATATATATATATATATATATATATATTTGTATACGGGCTGAAGGTGGCTTAGAATGGGGACTGAAGCTGGCCCAGAGTCGTCAAATTCTAACTAGGAGCTGTATTTGTTCCAATAGGATTCTTATCTACCTTGTCTAACAATTAACAACTGCTGTAGCATCTAGAGTAGTCTTCATCTAGGTCAGAATTAAAAAATGACATCATCCTATCATCTTTGTGGTGCCTATATAATCTTTCAATATCACCATTGTGAAGATGTCATGTTTTCAAATAATTTCTGAGGAAGAAAATATGATTCTTTAGTCATGATAACAAATTGATTTAGGACAGAACTAGAATACCGAAAATAATACTGCCTAATAATGATTTTATGGTGGGCTAAGGACCTAAGGTTGTAGAGAAACTGCTGGATTCGGGGCTTTCAACTTTTTAATAAAAGTTTAAAGAGTTAGAGATTGAAAATGGGTGGAACTCAGCTTGAATTAATGGTGCATAAGTGAAGGAATTTGTGGAGAAGTGCACATTTTTTTTTCTTTTGGGTAAGTGGCGAGCATCTGGGGTTTTGATTTTAAATTAAAAACCAAAACATTCGGAAAAAGGTTAGGATTGATTAGAGCTTGGTAAGGTAGAGTTTTAGGGCTGAAATTAGGGGTGTTGTACTATTCTGGACAGTAACTCAGGATGATAATTAAATTAAAGCAGTAGATAAAAGGGAAGAAGAGAAGACGGTAGGAATTTGCATAAAATGTTTTATGCTTGATCTTTGTAGAGTTTAAGTTACATCACATGGACACAATCTCAAATTCTCATAATTTTGTCTCCATTTATTATAAAGATTTCCAGCTATTTATAAGCTGCTGGGATTTCCTAACTAGGATTATGACTTAAAAAACATGAAATTTTCACTTAAAAGCATGAAATTTTCAATCTAACTGTTGAGACTTGTTCGAGATTCACTAAAGCTTCCATAAGATTGTAAAATTCCACTAAAATAACCCATAATGCAACTCTTGGACCACTACTACACGGTTCATGTTCAGCAAATCTAAAATATTTTAGATAACCCTTACTGGAAATCTTGATAAAGGATATATATAGATTTGTCCTGCAACATATTTACTAACTTAAAATAAACACATATTTTGCTTGCATTCAACCCAAATCAATGCGCTTCTACAGTTTTTATCAAAAGCTATTCTTAACAGAGACATGCTGTTTTCTAAGAACCTATTATTATCTATAGGCTATCATTGATTTTAATAGGCTCTTGAGAACTCTCTTTGGTGTTTATTGACTCATTTTATGATCATCTTTAGAAATCTAAGTTTTATTTTTGATTTGCAGGAATGGGCGCTTTCTTCTGCACTCATCAAGGAATATTCTTACACCTTCAGCATTAGTGGATTGTGAAGCAGCCCTGAACCAGGGAAGTATGACTTCTGCTGAAGTTTTTATGAGCTTGAGAAGCAGAAGTATATTGCACTTATTTGCATGTATTGGCAGGTTCTTAGGCCTTGAGGTAAACATATCTTACCTTGTTTTTCTCTGTTGGTTTTTTGCTACCCCACCCCCACTGATGCAGAGTGAGAAGAGAGAATGAACAGAGAAGAGCGAGAAAGAAGGAAAGAGTGAAGAAATTAGGTGAAAAAGTATGTATCAGTTTTCTTATAACCTCAATGAATGTTCAAAACGTAAAACGCTAGCACCGCAATGCCTTATATATAGGCAAATAAGTAAACCCTAATCAAACTCTACTAAAACATAAGGATAAGGATACACAAAATGATTTAGTAACTTCATCCCTAACACCTTTGCTCAAAATAAGTACGCATAGCTTGTAGCGCATGAGAGTTATTACGATTTTCATCATGTCTGATTGGCATAAAAGAACTCGCTTTCAGAGAGTAAATATTGGTGCAACTTCGCCATAAGGTTGGCGTCAGTATGGTGAAACTCATCTATGTAATGCACGTAATACTAGTATCCGGTTGATCTCCTCAACAAACACGATATCGTTGATAACCACCTCGACATCTTAAAAAATGGTTGATTAATATATATGATATACTGGAATTATTGTTTTTTGATTAGTAATAATATGCTGGAATTATAAATTTACAAAATTCGGGTTTGGTTGCTGATGCTTCATACCCAACCAAAATTAAGCTCAGGTTGAGGGTTTTCAGTTCAAGGCCAACCCAATTGTAGAAATGGTTGCCCAAGCCTGTGAAAATAATCATTTGGAAATACTTCAAATATGCGTACCTTTACCAAGTCTGTTATGGTTATCAGAGTCAACAATGCTCCAAAGTGGCTCCACAAGGTGAATTAGATCAATCCTGAAATGGTTGCCCAAGCCTGTGAAAATAATCATTTGGAAATACTCCAAATACGCGTACCTTTACTAAGTCTGTTATGGTTATCCGAGTCAACAATGCTCCAAAGTGGCTCCACAAGGTGAATTAGATCAATCCTGCTTTTGATAGAAATCTCTGGTTTTTCACTCTGTTTTCTTCTTCTTTTATTTTTATTTTTATTTAATGAGAAAAAAGTCTATCAGTAATCAATAATCTCAATAAATCTTCGAAACTTCTAAACTCTATTACATTAAACCCTTATAAATAGGCAACTAAAGTAAATTTTTATCAAACACAACCAAAAAGAGGAGCCTAAAAGTAAGGAAAATTCCTAAAATAATGATATGTATAATAAGGCTCGTACCCCTGACCTCCCTTTGGGAAGTAGGGGCCTGGTACCGCTAGGCCACTAGCCTGTTGGTTAATAAGTCAAACCATGCATTTGCTTAAAATAAGTATTCATAGCATGTGGCTTGTGTATGTGACTTATCATGATCTCCATTATGCGCCAAACCAAAAGAATAAAAAAGGTAAAAATAAATATTAGAGGCTAAAAGTTGATGCGTTTTACCTTAGATTGTTGATTAAATATCTGTTTTAAATTCTTTTACTGGTCTGCAGCAGGTCTACACTTCACCAATGCTAATTTAATCATTTCTGTGCATGACTCGTGGAAGGCTTAAGAGAAAAACTTGTATTTGGGAAGATTTTTTTTGGATATGTTTACTCATCTTCACAGTTGTCGAAACTCAAAATGTGACTAATCCACATACCATTTGGCTCATAACTATTGTATGATCTTGATATAAGTTCTCATTGAACAGAACCTTACAAACTTACCAAGTAGAATTGGATTAATAATGAGAAGAGAAAGGAAATAATTCTAGAATCAACCAATGAAAATCCTACATGAGCATTCAAGCTTGTCAGAAGCAGGACTGCGATTTTAGAACCAAGTTTCTATTTCTCAATGAAAAAAAAAGGAAACAAATTGTAAAATTCATTTTGTTAGTCCTTATAATAATTTTTTGAATTGAAATTACATTATACGAACAAGGTGAGAGACTGATTGTTTTTTTCCTCATCCATTCTTGATCCTAGCAGTGTTTATATTATTGTATGATTTCTTTGTTTAATCTTGAATTTTCTTTGGTAGTCATCATCCAAATTATTTAACAAACACTGGATGGAGCTTATATGAAAGTCAGCGTGGTATGATTGGTATCTACCCAAAAGGAAACACCACAAGTGCAAGTTTATTGTGAATCAATGACTCAGGTCCATATGCCTAAGCATGCTCTGGTGCTTGCCTTCTGTCATGGAGCCATGTTAGCTCCAGTGGGGGCAATTTACCCCACTGGAATTTTCTATTATTTGTATTTTTTAATCACAAATTTTGATAATTCTGAAAATGCCCCCACTCAACTACTGAAAAATTCAGAAATGACTCGTGTCTTTTCTCCTCCAGTTGGTCCCACAAAAATTTTAAGAATCAAAATTAAGGGAAGACTCCTTTGCTATTATTATGTTGATTCAAATTTATTATCATATTATTGTAATGGCTGCCCCTTCTGAACTAAATTCCTGGCTCCGCCACTGCTTGCGTTGGTTAAAATGTAACCTTTCGGCATCTATGTTTTGTTGCAAAAAGAACATTCTTCTTGCTGTTGTTTAGCAAAGATACAAGGTGTTCAATACAGGAAAGAATGGAAAATCTAATAGGAGCATTCTATGACATAGCTTTTAGTGATTGGCTTCTGATACCTTTTTTCTTTAAGGTTTTTTCATACTCTGTGTTGCTTGAAATTGATAGAAAAATAGCTTGTATTATTTTTTCGATTGCTGTTCAGTGTTTTTACTAGCGTATAGGCTATAGAAAATTGATTTTAGTTGTTATCACAATCATCAATCTATCATATATTCATCTGATAAATGTTGAAGGTTTTTTTTTGATAAGTAAAATGTATTAAAGAGCGTTCAAAAGGGGAACGCGTCCCAAACTATACTGATATATTCATCTGATAAATGTTGAAGTTTGATTGGAAAGACGTTGGTGTTTGATCTTTAGGGTTACCTGATTTAGTTAAATTTCAGTTTTGGAGTTCCTATGGCTAGGTGTTACTAAATTGGGGAGCCTTGTTATGTGATATCTTTAGATTGTTACTGAAAATTTATTTTTATACTTGTATATGCACATATCACATAGGACCATTTGATTCTTGCAGGTGTATGAAAATGGTTTGGCTGCAGTGAAGGTGCCTAAAAACATTTTAAGTGGATCAAGTTTGTTGCTGATGGGATTTCCAGAATGTGGGAGTTCATATTTTTTGCTGATGCAACTTGATAAGGATTTTAAGCCTCTATTTAAATTGCTAGAGACTCAACCAGATCCATCAGGAAAAGCTCATTCTTTTGGTGAATTGAATCATGTCATCCGTACAAAAAATGTTGATATTGGTCTGATGCAGATGCTTGAAGATGAACTCAATTTGAGTCTCCTAGATTGTGGAAAACTACTTCCATTTTCCTCAGATGCTGTGGGTACTAATCAGACTTCTGAACATTGTCTTCTTTCTGAGTTCAGCCAAGATGGTTCTATGCTCAGTTCTGGAAGTCTACCTCCAAATTTTTCATCTATTGTTGATGAAGTGTTTGAGCTTGAGAGAGGGTCATCTGCTCCTTCTTTCCCTGCTCAGAATCTCTCTTCAACATTCACAATGTCTCCTGCTTCTCATTTTGGTTCTGTTCCAAAGAATTTTCAAAGTATAAAAGCTGGGACTTCCTCTCCTAAATGGGAGGGAGGAACACAGGTTCCACAGATTAGTAATGTTACGAAAGTTTTAAGTGTAGCCTCCCATTACAATGGTTCTATTTATTCGTCAAGCAGTTTGAAAGGCCTGATACAGTCCAGTTCTGTCAGTTCTCTGTCTTCTGGCCCAGGAAGGAGCACAACTATGAAGAAGTTACTTGCTTCAAAGTCGGATCAGGATTTGTCTTCTCTTAGATCTCCTTATTCCACCGAAGTTGGTCTTTGTTCCACAATGGACGAAGATCAGCTTAATGTTTCTGGAAATCGGTCATCTCGACTGCTATCTCCACCACGATCAAGTGGCCCTCGAACTTCTACGTCAAATGCAAAACCTAATGGGCCGAAAAACTCAGCTTCTGGGTCTCTGGCTGGATCTAGCTCTTTGTTTACAACTCCCGTATGTAAGATACCTTCTCTGAGTTCACTTGTTTCAACTCCAACTTGTACATTTCCATTGAAGAATATTCTTTGCAGGTAACTATAGTTTTGATAAATGCTCCCTTTTCAGCTCAAGCAACAGATCCTGGAATTTGTCATGGCTCAAGTCTTGATGCTATTACTAAACTTGATAAAACATCAAGAAAACGTACAGTTACAGATATGTTGAATTTGGTTCCGTCACTCCAAGGTATTGATGCCAATGCAGCAGTTGGTAAGAGAAGGAAAATCGCAGAATCTGGTCGCACTGAACACACTTCACCACAGGCACTTATTTCATCGGAAGTGACTGGTAAAATTGAAGGATACAGTTATGCAAGTCTTGTTGCTGAAGCAAATAAAGGCAATGCTCCCTCCAGCATATATGTTTCTGCTCTTCTTCACGTGGTCAGGCACTGCTCACTTTGTATAAAGCATGCCCGATTAACTAGCCAGATGGAGGAATTGGACATCCCATACGTTGAAGAAGTGGGTCAAAGGAATGCATCCTCAAACTTATGGTTCCGGCTCCCGTATGCTCGAAGCGATACGTGGCAACACATATGCTTGCGACTTGGTCGTCCTGGAAGCATGTATTGGGATGTTAAAATCAATGACCAGCACTTCAGGGACTTGTGGGAGCTTCAGAAGGGAAGTAGTAATACTCCATGGGGTTGTGGTGTTCGCATTGCCAATACATCTGATATAGATTCCCATATTCATTATGATCCAGAAGGCGTTGTTCTAAGCTATCACTCTGTCGAGACTGATAGCATTAAGAAGTTAGTTGCAGATATCCAACGGCTCTCTAATGCTAGAACATTTGCTCTTGGAATGCGGAAACTGCTTGGAGTAAGATCAGATGAGAAATTAGAAGAAGTTAGTGCAAATTCTGATGGTAAAGCATCAGTTGGAACAAAAGTTGCTGTTGAGGTAGTTGATAAGTTTTCAGAACAGATGAGAAAGGCTTTCCGAATTGAGGCAGTCGGACTTATGAGCTTGTGGTTTAGTTTTGGTTCAGGGGTCCTTGCTCGCTTTGTTGTTGAGTGGGAATCGGGTAAAGAGGGATGCACAATGCATGTTTCTCCTGACCAGCTTTGGCCTCATACCAAGGTTTGTCAGTTTTCTGCTTCGTAGATTCTTGTTTTGTTTTTTGTTCTTTTCCCTTTATGTTCTTTCATTAGTGATTATCAAACTATATTTGAGCAAATGAACTTGTTACAGTTATACTTAACATTAATATGTCACTTTGAATTATGAACTCATGTGGTTCCATTGTATTCACAATGAGCCAAGAGACTCGATAATTCTGGATTATCTTCTTGTCTAGCTTGTGTTTGGGATATCAAATTGTATTGGGGTGTGTCATCTCCGTTGGTCATGGATGGGAATGTATTGGAAAAGCAGTATAAATGCCATAAAATTGAGAATCGTGAGACAATTAAACTAGTGTTAATGGTGCTCCAGCTTGTGAAATATAAGGATACCATCATAGACATTTATGCCCATGGAGCAGTTGTAAATACAAAAGCAATTAAATGGTAAAAAGATAAATATCCACTTGAATGCCATAGTACAAAAACTTGTTTCTGCAATATTATTTTAAGCCATCTCTCTCCTTCTCTCTGTTCTTTTCTCCCTATATATGCATAATCACATTTCGATAATTTTAAAATGAGTTATTTTTTTCCTAGTTGATACTCTTGCACACCCACCCAAGGAATTGTTTGCACCCAAGAGGAGTTGAGACAAGTGAGTTATTTTGTAGAAAAATTATCTTGTATCATGCAAAGGATGTGTTAGATAATTGTATGAGAAATACTTTGCATGGATTTTAAGGAGAGAATTGACCTCCTATCTAGAGTTTGAATGGCTCAAGAGGGAAACTGATTTTTCCAGACAAAGTTTCCAAGAAGACCAACCAACTTTATTGGGTTTCTAATTTTGCATAAGTAGAAATAGTTGGTCAGTTGTTTGGATCGTTAATTTGTTGGCCAACTTACGTCAAATGGTGCGATCAAACAATTTTGTACATCACATAATTGCTGAAAATTCAGAAGAGATTTATCAGTTAATGTGGTCAAGGTTTTATGAAACAGAAAGTTGCTTTAATGTAGAACTCTGTTGCCACATGTATATCACAGACTCATATTTGAATATCCTACTACTTGATTTTTTTCATGTTATTGCTTTCATCCTAATTTAAAGCTTTCGTATTTGATTAGACTATTTATGATATTGTTTGTGATCTTTAATATGTTTTGAAAATCTCTCCTTTTTGATTTATTAATAACAAGTGCCAGTTAATACATCTTATTCATTTACTCAGATGACTCAGTTGGATGACCTATTTTGGACTGACCCAGTCACCTAACACACTTAATTGAAGTCGAAGCTAAAAGCACTGTGTCAGTGCAATAATCTTGAATTGTTTGACACTAAGAAGTGTTGTTTTACTGGGGCGCAATTAAAAACTAACTCCTGTTTCACTTATCAGGAAAAAAAAAAAAAAAAAAAAAAAAAACAAAAAAAAAAAAAACACTAGCTCCTGTTTCCTTTTTGGTTTATAAGTAATTCGCAGATAATATCTCAATGCTGTCTAATTTGTCGTTATTCGGTATTATTAGTTGCCAAAGATTTAGTTTGACTTCTGCAAATGTATTTGAGCTCACAATATGTTTTCAATAATAATTATGTGCTTTAAACTTTTTTTGTTCTCTACAGTTTCTAGAAGACTTCATAAATGGAGCTGAAGTTGCATCTCTTTTGGATTGCATTCGCCTCACTGCAGGACCCTTGCATGCTCTTGCAGCTGCAACACGACCTGCACGAGCTCTTCCTGCTCCTGGGGTCCCTGGTGTTTCAGCAGCTATCTCTTCTATTCCAAAACAGATTGGATACATGCAATCGCAGGGACACTTGCAAAGCAGTTCATCCCCAAATGCCAGCCAGGCTTCATCTGGGCCCGGAGGGAACCCAGTGGCATCTACCACTGCTGGTTCTCTTGGGACTCACAGTCTTCATGGGGCTGCAATGTTGGCTGCTGCTGGGCGAGGTGGCCCTGGCATTGTTCCTAGTTCACTTTTGCCCATTGACGTTTCAGTTGTACTTCGTGGGCCATACTGGATCCGGATCATATATCGCAAATACTTTGCAGTAGATATGCGCTGCTTTGCTGGGGATCAGGTCTGGTTGCAACCAGCAACACCCCCCAAGGGTGGCCCTGCGGTTGGAGGATCATTGCCATGTCCACAGTTCCGACCCTTCATCATGGAGCACGTGGCTCAGGAGTTGAATGGTTTAGAGCCTAGTTTCAATGGTGGTCAACAGACGGTTGGACTCGCAAATGTGAACAATCCAACTCCAAGTACGGCTTCACAGCTTTCAGCTGCCAATGGAAATAGAGTTAACCTCCCAAATTCTGCTGGAATGGCTAGGTCAGGAAACCAAGTTGCTGGTCTCAACCGCATGGGAAATGCTCTTTCGGCATCCTCAAATTTGGCTGTGGTAAGCTCAGGCTTGCCTTTACGTAGATCACCAGTTGCAGGTGTCCCTGCTCATGTGAGAGGGGAACTAAATACAGCCATTATTGGACTTGGGGATGATGGAGGTTATGGAGGTGGATGGGTTCCTCTTGTTGCTCTTAAAAAGGTTCTTAGAGGTATTCTCAAGTACCTTGGAGTGCTGTGGCTCTTTGCACAGTTACCTGATCTCTTGAAAGAGATCCTAGGATCAATTTTAAAGGACAATGAAGGTGCCCTGTTAAATTTGGACCAGGAACAGCCTGCGTTACGCTTCTTTGTGGGGTAAGACCAAAAGCTCGATTGTCATTTGTTAGCAATTTCTGTTCACATCTTTTCGAGAGTCCTTTTCTATTGTTGTTCTGCCTCTTCACATAATCCATAAACTGTGTGCATGGTGTTTAGATTGGAGTGATGTCTCCACTTTGGCATGCTCTGGAAGTCACTTATTATTGCTTTTTGTACCAAATTCTTACCAATGACTGCTGCATGTGAAGCATTAATGTAAAGAGAATTGAACTAGAGTGGCTTGTACACTGTTCGTTTTTTATATTTGGTGTGAAAGAACAGAAACGAGAGAGAGAGAGAGAGAGGGATTCTGAGCATGTGTAATAGAAGAAGTTACAGCCTTTGTGGGATAAATTTTACAAAATGCTGTTAATGTTTCAGCAACTAAACCTATAGGTAATTCTCCTTTTAGTTTGGTAAAGTCCTGTTGTCTAGTAGGTGGGTGCATTAATAGGAACAATAAAGGACACAACTTCCGTATTATTTATTTATTTACTTTTTATTTTTTGTTATTATAAGAGTCTCAAAATTTCCGTTTTCTCTTGTTTGAAAATTTTAGTCTGGTTAATTTTTTCTGGATTTTTTCACGTCATTGGAATGATGTGAAGTTAGGTGGCATGCCAGTTTACAGTTGGTAGGATTGTAGATGTGTTGTGTATCCTAATTTTAGTAAATGCTTTCCCTTATTTATAAATAATTGTTCTTAAAATTCCCTTATTTATCAATATTATTATATATATATATATATATATATATGTTCTTAACATTCCCTTGTAATTCCCATGTCATGGAACTAAGATTTTTATGTTCAATACGTCTTTTTCTCCCTAAACCATTTAGCATTTCGTAAAATCAATATATTCAATGAACACACTACATACCAATAGAAATCCTTCCCTAAAATGAAGTCCTAAGACAGGACACATTTCTCTCCCCTCTCTCTCTCTTCCTTTCAACTCATGTGCATGCAAAAGCACACCAACTCTCTCTCTCTCTCTCTTTTCCTGTGAACTCATGCGCATGCAAAAGCACACAACACTAACTGATAACAGCTTTCTTTCATAAATCTTTTCTTCTCATATGTAAACATTGCTATCCGTTCATTTTCTGGCTGAGTAAACTTATTAGTTGGAGTTTCTTCCATCACCATTTAATGGTTTCTGTAAGCTTATTTTGATTGTGAATTTTTAAATGTCGGGGTATATTTCTATTTGCAAGTATAGAGTAAGATAGTTTTCTAAGAGTAAGTTATCTTATTAAGAAGCGCATAATAATAATAATAATAATAATAATGGTGTGCAGTCCATCTATTTGTAGATTATATATCAAGACTTTACCTATGTGCAGAAAAGATACTTCTTTAAAAGAGCTATGCAATAAATTAAAGAAGATGCGAAAGCCTTTGATTTGCCAAAAATATGAAGTATAACACATTAAGCTTTTGAACTACTGAAAAGGGAGTTCTATTCCCCCAAAAGACCACTCTTCTACTTCCAATTACTTAACATGTGAAAAACTAGGCAGCCTGAAGGCTTATTTTCATAGAACACTCATTATTCTCTAGTAATTGTTTTCTGTTTTTGGATTTGTTGAAAACTGTTATGCAAACTGTACCAAATAAGCCCTTAATCTCTCTCCTCTCTCTCTCTCTCTCTCTCCCTCTCTCTCTTTTTTTTTCCCCCTTTTCTTTTGTCCTCCATTCTTTCTCCTAATACAAGGTGGAGCACAAGTAAAGAATTTCCTAGTTAAGAATACTAGGATAAGCTACTGCTCATTTTCGTTTTAAAAATCATGTTGCCGATCCATATCTTTTGTGAAACTTTATAAATTGTTTTTGATCTTTTTTATTTTTTATTTTGTTAGTATTGTTACATTAAAATCTTTAATGCTACTTGTTTATCTTTAACTGATGCATTGTTTTTTTCTATATGGACAATGCTTGACAAACTAATCCTTGGTTGTTGAGTCACTTGTATTCATGGTTTCGATCATAAATGTCTTTCTGCAGGGGCTATGTATTTGCTGTAAGTGTCCATAGAGTTCAACTTCTTCTCCAAGTCCTTAGTGTAAAACGCTTCCATCATTCACAGCAGCAACAGCAGCAGCAGAATCCGTCCATTTCTCAAGAGGAATTAACCCAATCTGAAATAGGCGAGATATGCGACTATTTCAGTCGTCGTGTTGCATCAGAGCCCTATGATGCTTCACGCGTTGCATCATTCATCACTCTTCTAACTTTACCCATTTCAGTTTTAAGAGAATTTTTGAAACTTATAGCGTGGAAAAAAGGATTAGCACAGGTGCAAGGTGGAGATATAGCCCCTGCACAGAAACCCCGTATTGAATTATGTCTCGAAAATCATGCAGGATTGAATATGGACTGGAACTATGATAATTCATCTGCATCAAAAAGCAACATCCATTATGACCGGCCTCATAATTCTGTTGATTTTGGGCTGACTGTGGTTCTTGATCCTGCTCACATACCTCACATAAATGCTGCCGGTGGTGCTGCTTGGTTGCCCTACTGCGTTTCAGTGCGGTTGAGATATTCATTCGGCGAAAATACTCATGTGTCTTTTCTTGGAATGGAAGGAAGCCATGGAGGCCGATCTTGCTGGTTGCGGCCCGATGACTGGGAGAAATGTAAACAAAAGGTGGCTAGAATTGTGGAAGTCAATGGAGGTTCAGCAGGGGATGCTAATCAGGGGCGACTGAGAATAATTGCAGACAGTGTGCAAAGAACGCTGGATATGTGCCTTCAGGGATTAAGGGATGGCGGTGGGGTTACTGCAAGCTCTGGAGCAACATGATTAGGTTGGTTCTTCGACTGGATCTTCTTATTTTTGTATGGTAATTTGGATTCGAGAGAAAGTTGTACTTGGTTATGCATCAGTTGTCACTGTTTTCCTTTTCACTCCTTTTTGCAGGATTTACTACCCGTAATTGGAAATGAAGGGAAACCTAGTGAAAACAGCTGCTGATCTGTGAGAAACATATAGAAGGAATACTAGCTAGGTTAGTGATGGAGGATGATGTTTCTGGGGTCTTTCTTTCTATCTTTTCAATGAATTCGCTAGCCTAGATTTTACTTAACAGGGTGTAAAATATTTTGAAAAAGTAAGGGTTTTTTTTCTTTCTTTTCTTTCTTTTGATTAATGTTTGTCTAGTTAGGCAGTGGTTTTTTCTTGCATAGGTTACCCTAATGAGTGTTTCTCATCATTGTACAAAATTTGTTTAGCTGGAGATGTTTGTTGTACTCCCCTTGGACATTGGCAAGATGCCCTAATTACAATTCCTTCTATAGAAAATTCATATGTAAATTCTTAAATCATGTCAAATGGAAAATTTTGTGGGCTTTTGTAGTTTGATCAACTGTATTGGATTATTGGCATTATTAGAGAACTATTAACTTCTGGGTGATATGCAAGGACCTTTTGTTTTTCTAACTATTCTGGTGGTGTTTGTGCTGCTGCTTAACTATCACAAACCTATTCCAAACGGAGTTGATTTTGGGAAACTTAGGAGCCATTGTTGTTCTGCAACTCGGGCTCAATCCGAATGTGTGAAATCTTCAATTTGATTCTTATTTGTTAAAAATTGGGCTGATTTTGGGTTGATATTTTGGATTAAAATTAAAGATATTTTTCACAACTAAGATAATTGAAGACACTGGCGTGACATAATATGACAATAACAAATGGATCAGAAGATGATATGTTCAATATGTCATATGTAGTACTTGAATAAACTCATTAAATAATTAATCATATGTTCACATGCGACCAAGACAAACAAATAGATATTGGGATATATATATTGGGTTCGGGTTAGTCGGGTCTTGTAATTTAGGATGGGTTTGGGTTAGCTTTCGGGTTTTCTGATTCTATAAACCTAGCCCTGTCAAGATCCTTACTTCCCTGGATCAAATTATAATTTACACCCAAATGCAAAAATTTTCTGGCTGAGCTTGAGTTGGTCCAGTATGGGCCCTCTTGAGTTGCAGCCCTAGTCATTGATTCTTTATTTTTCCTTGTTTAAGCAAACATTCAGACAAGAAGACCTGGACAGAGGTTTAGTGAAATAGACATGTTTGTGAAGCTTTGCCCTAGAATTGGCTTTGGGCCTTTCCTGCACAGCTTAGGTTGAGGGTGAAGAAAGCCTCCTTCGGAGGAGGGCCCGAACCATTAGTGAGATACTACTCTGGAAGAGCTAGAATTCTAACCTTGTGTGAGGACCTACGAGTTAAGTGTTACAAGGGATATTTGTCCTACAACGGATCTGGATGAAAAGTGAAAGGGGTATATATGGGTGGATATGCAACACTACTCAAGAGCTTAATTTTTTGGATAAATGGGCAAATACCCACCTGTTATATTTGGTATCAGAGTCAGACCCCGTCCTTGATCTGGTGCCACCCCAAGCGCTAGCCCTGGAAGGCATCCGGGTAGGTAGGGTGGCCCAATCACAAAGAGGGCATTGCGAGTTCGGGTAGGGGAGAATGTTACAAGAGATATTTGTCTTACATTATATCTGGATGGAAAGTAAAAATGGTCTAAATGAGTGGGCATGCAGCACTATTTAACAATTTAAGCTTTTGGGTAAATGGGCAACCGTCCATCCCTTACATCATGGGACAGTCTCATGTAGGCAGTTTTTATTAGGCCTCCCAAAAGGTAACAGAGGCATGCAAAGGGTTCCTTGGACCAGACGGAAATTGGCTCACGAGTACAAAAGCAAAAGGGAGCTCACATGTCCACATTTGTTTTTAATTATTTTTACAGAGCAAACATACAACACGAGCTACAAAACAAAAGAAACAGGGATCCCAACACATCAACGGAGCCTTTGAAACAGAAACAAGGATTGAATCCCAACACATCAACTTATCCCATGAAGTAGGAGCCATTTTGCGCACTGCATGTGCTGACCCATTGCCCGATCTTGGGGTCAATTTTAGAGAGATGTTGCACCCATCCAACAAAAACTTACAATCTTAAACAATCACATTCAGAGCTTCCTCCTTAGGACTTAGCTCCACATTCTGCAACTGAAGCTAATGGTGTGTGAGAGAAAGAAATAGAAGCAATTCTCAACAAAATACCTTCATGATTCTTGAAAACAAACGCCCCTCTACATTCGAATGATGCCCCATTAAGGCAGCATCAACATTCAGCTTATAAAATCTAGTTGGAGGAGGGGACTTCTAGATGGCTGTGATCGCAACAACTGGTGTTGTCTGCAAATCTCTTAGCCCTAAAATAAAATCCCAAATCGCATTGTCCGCTATATCTTTAGGCTCTATCTTTTTCAGATTAAACTACCAATTGTAGCGTTGCTTCCATATGTGCCAACATATATAAGAAGCCAAACCCGCACCGTAGGGAAAACAATTTATCTCCTTCCAATCATCAACAAGAAATACCCATCGTCTAGGCCAATGCATGGGGGTTGAATTAGCAAAATCCAGCCTTAAAGGACTCATCTTCCACACTGCTTGTGATTCAGGACACATACATAACATGTGGTCAACTGTCTCTTCTGCTAGGCCACATCTTTTGCAAAAGGAGTGATCAATGATATGCTTCAACTTCAAATTAACATTAATAGGGATCTTTTCATGCAAGCTTTGCCACAAGAAGAACTGAACCTTTCTAGAAGAATGAATGTTCCAAACATCTTTCCAGCACTTCTAGAGTTGTTGAAAGTTGCTGCATTCTGCGTCTTGATGAGTATCGAATGGTTGGGAGTGAAGATTGCCTTTAAGATAAGAAAGGGCTAAGAAGTAGGCACCTTTTACAGAACTTTCCATTCTTAGACCGACTCCAGAACTTCACATCTTTCCCCTTCGCAATACTCACTGGTAATTGTAGAATCTTCCCTCTTCTTTTTCTGCACTATTATCACTCTGCTTGTTGTCTATCGCTTAGCTTCTCACACATCCAATTGCATAACTAATTACGTAGAATAAATTGCAACCCATCATTCCCTCCACTCTCTAATGCAGATTCTTGGTGCAAATACTGTACTCCACATACAATCCAGTTACTAGCAATGCGTAGAAAAAAGCACAAGGGATAACTTTATCCATTCTAGTCTAACTTTACACATACATTAGATGGTTAAATGGATCAAAATTCATGCATGTATATGCTCAGTTCTCAGTTCGAATATCATTACGCGATGAAATATGATCAATCATCGTCAATGGGAAACTCAAGGTCCAGAAGTTGAGGATGGCAGCCGCGTCTTTGTCCCAAAATTATCGGGTTTTGTATATAATAAGCCCGTTGTGCAACAATTTAGAAGACCAAGGGGTGCGACTTTAATGGGACCGTCATTCTGCCTGTATGCTGCTTCTACACGAAGTACCAATCTCACCCGGCATGGACTAATATGATTTCCTTGTGTCTATGTCCGCGTTTTCAAGCATTGCAAAACAAGTGTGATACCCCCTAATTTTGGAACACGGATTGATCAAGTCCGCGCACAAAATCAAGGGATATCAAAACAATTTAAGTATTTAACAAGCACATAATACAAAGATGAATAATAAAGAATAAATAAACCGCTGAAGAAAACTAATAAATAAATATTACTTAATGATTCTCCAACAATTACAATTCGGAAATCCCATAACTCAAGGACCCCTTAAAATATTATCCAATAATCCAATACTATTTAAAAGTACACAAGATGAATAGACGAATGACAGTCTCCCAACTGCGGATCCTCAACCTCGAGACTGGAACCTCTAATAACCTGAAAAATAAATCGTGGGTTAAACCCTACGAGCAAGTTCACTCTACCAGGCCTCTGAAAACCAATAAGCAGATCATCTCTGATCAAAACCAAACCTAATAAAGTTTTAACTTTAATAAAGCACGATATACATGTCTATATATAATTATATATACTATACTAATCACATCCATTAATAGGTTTATTAAATTTCCATACCTATTAAATAATTATTAAAATAATATTCATACCTAGACCAATCTACCATTTCATTTTATAAAAACTCCTTTGACCTTAATCCCATCCTAGTCAGTTGTACAACAAATTATAATAAAAGAAATACTCTATTTAATCCCAACCCGATAATGATTTAAATTGTTTAAATCACATATCCAAAATCCAAGTTTTGACAAATCATCCACGTCTTCCCCAATATTATTTTATTAATGGAAAATAATACACTAACCAGTAAGTACTAAACTATTCTCATTTAAGAATATCTAACCCTAATCCAATCCATACATACAACAACCATAGATGATATTCTAATCATCTAACACATAACAACGTAATTATGCTTTGACAAATCAACCATGCCATTGTAAATATTTTTATTTATATATTGACAATTCAACCATGCCTCCATAAGTATATTTATTTATACATTGGCAATTCAACCATGCCTCCGTGTATGTATATTTATACATTGGCAATTCAACCATGCCTCCACAGGTATATTTATTCATACATTTAATTAGCAATTCATCCATACTTTCCATATATGTATTCTATTCATACAAATATTTAGGTAATATATTTAATCATTTGACAATTCATCCATGCCCACACTTTAACCATGAATTAACTTTAAAATTAACAATACGCTAAATCATACATAGCCATCACATGCATATTATACGCATATCATTAATTTAACAACCAACCTATTAAGATATGCCAAATAAGAATGATAATATTAATCATCTTAAATGATTTATATATATATATATACCTACACATATGTTATTTAATGTATATATGTGTTTAACACCTTCTTTAATAATCCTTGATTATTTAAAATCAATATACATACATACATACATACATATATATATATATATATATATATATATATATATATTCATCCTTCCATACAACTCATAGACAAATTAAACTATATATACACATATATAAATAATTATATATATATATACACTTCCTTCCATAACAAATTATTAATTTATTATATTTACCCACATTAGTGCAACTAAATATGTCAGAAATAGTTTCCTTTAAATACTCCATACCGGTTTAAATAGTTTTCCGACACCGTCTCACTAAAACGTAAATATCTCTTATTAGGATAAGAATCTGATAATGAAATTGGTACCATTGGAAAGAGGACGAAAAATCCTTGAATTTGAGCTCAAGAATGACCCAATTTCGATTTAAGATGACTAAGTTATGACCGTTTTAATTTTATGTCACAAACAGACAAAATAATTGGCTAAGCTCAAACACTACTGTGAGCGCGCCCACACTTAATTAGCTCACTTGAGCTCACACAAACGCACCCACACCAGATTAGCTCACTTGAGCTCACATGTATGCACCCACACCAGATAAA